CAACATGCAACATGCAACATGCAACATGCAACAAAACTTTCGCCCAACCTTGTTTGAAAAAAATATGTATAGAAAGATGGTGATGATAAATGGTAATCAATTGAAATTGTTAAACTAAAAGAGAGATGAAGGGACAATATTAGACGTTTCGAAAATTAGGAATACTTTACGTAAAGGCTTTCCCAATCAATAACGATTTCTTTCTGTTGCATTTGACAGACATCTAACATGTTTATATTATAACTAGGCAACCGATGCGGATCTTGGTTCATTTGGCCAAGTCACTTACGAGCTGAGAGGCAGTCAGTCTTCATTGTAAGTTTACTTTGGTAATCAAAGCTTCTGTTAGTAAAGACACGTAGGCATAGCTCGATTCATCTAAATTTTGACTTTATTTATGTTTTAGTTTTGCTGTCGATCCTAATACTGGTAACATCACAGCAGCAAGAACCCTTGACTATGAAGAAGTCCACAGCTACCAGTTTTATGTGATCGCTAGTGATGGTGGTGGAATATTCAAGGAAGAAGCAACTGCTACAATAAATGTTGCTTTACGGGATGTCAATGRCAACGAMCCAGTCTTCACTGGAACGCCATACACAAGCAAGATCAAAGAAAATGTAGGCGCYGGCGTCATTGCAATTAAGGTATGCTTGTACCGCCTTATCGTCTTGGCTTGTGAGGTTGTTGAGATTTTGCCCGGAAGCTGGTGTTGCAAAGTACGACACAGGGTCCCCTTCGAGGGAGCACTGCAACAGTTTCCAACCCCGTAAAATCCTCATACCTATCCCACAATCAACCCATGCATTAAGAAATCATGTAATTGCTGGAGTTGCTTTATACTCTGTGTGCCCGCGGCCAGCGAGTGCCTTTCTTCGTCGACAATATGCAAGTTTAACATACATTCTGATCCTCTACCCCTATATAAGAGATAATATACAGTGAGGAAGTAATAGTCTAGCTGAGTTTGGAAACCATAACGCGCATTCTGATAACAAATATTGAATAGCCTTTGTGTTAGATGATCTTAAAATCATAAATGTGGTTCATCTCACAAGATTCTTTTGGCAGATGCTTTTCAGGACAACATTTATTTTTTATATCAGCTTTGCATTTTTTCTGCCTATCGTTACTTTAATAATCTGATGTTGTTTTTTATTTATTTTATTTTATTTTATTTTTTGCGGCTTACTATCATAAACAGGTGACCGTCAGCGACAAAGATAACGACAACAATGGAAGAGTAAGTACCCCAAAAGATGTTCGCCTTTCTGAAATTAAAAAAAAAATGGTGGCATATAGAATCGTGTTGGATAAGATTACAGGGAGCACGAGAACAAACTCGATCTTGTATACCTTCATTCATTTAACCAACCTCACAATTCCACATGAAACTTCGGTTGACCCCTATTTTTTCATTACCTTCGAAAATTTTAACCAATTTGTAAGGGAGATTCACACATAAAAGTAAAATCTTGTAATGACTTGAGTATGTTTCTGTTTCTCAGGTTTCCTTGAGCATTACATCTGGTAACATCGATAACGCTTTTGCTATCAATGCAACTGGATTCATCACGACAACCAAATCACTGGACAGAGAAGCCACAGCCTCGTATACGTTAACGGTACAACTATATGAAACATTTGATAGAAAGGATACTCAATAGTCACTATCTCATGCAGAGGCTCGTGAAAAAATCCGAGTCAACCTGAC